AAAATTCTTATTGACTGGCTAACTCTGCACTGTAGTTGAGATGCTGTGTTAGGTATATTCAATTTCATGAAAATGTCTTTCCATCTGAGGGATTTTAAATATTGTTGAGGAACAGACTGACTATATCATGAATATAAATAGTGAAATTCTAGTAGTCTGTTTTTGAGATAAAAAATTCTAGTAGTCTATTGGATATAAATAATAAATACTTCATTTTTCTTTGGCTTTTGGTTTCATAGATGCAAAAGAAAAAACTTAGAAAAAGCATTATTAAGTATATTTAAATTTCTGTTACTTCAATATTGCATGAATGACATTTCTCATTATTTTCTCTTTGTATTTTTATGCAAATCTTACTCTTGTTTCCTGAGTGCTATTTCTTTTTCCAATTTGTCTCTGCCAATTTCAGTGCTTTCATCGGTTGATAGAAGAGCTCAATGAGGCGGCTAATGGAACAAAAGTTCATATGGCAGATACAAAGGTTAGTTTGTTCTGCATTACAGTTAAATTATGGAGTCTTGAATTCGTAATAGTGACTCTGATGCCAATTTATTATTTTGTGTGGCTACCTGTTTAGTTCATATCAGCAATTCCTCAGTTTTTAAAATTGGTCACTCAGACCTTATTTATATGATATGGAAAAAAAAAAAGAAAAAAGAAGATATAATATTTAGGAAATCTGATTATTGGTATGAAATGAAGGATCTGGGTCATTACATCTGCACATGGTAGTGAAGTCTCAACATTAGATTGATGGTACATGCAGATCAAGGCAATATGATATGTAGAGTCTTATTCATTTCCATATTTTGGTTTTTTCGTCTGGTCATTAGTATGGTTTTTCTTGTCAAAGCTTTTGGAGGGGAATATAGTCTAAGTGAATATTTTTTAATTTGAGAGGAATACATGCATCACATCTTATTAGAAGAACATAACTGCAGTGGTTCTTGCATTTCTCCATCTGAGTTTTCAGTTTGGTGGTTGGTTAATTCATTCATTTTTCCAAATGAGTTCCTTTTGATTTGGAGAATTACTTGAAAGTTCATTAAACTTATGTTTTCCTCTGAAGTTTGTGAATAAGAAGTTCGCACATTTAGATGAAATATTATCATTTTTTTCATTTTTCAATTCATTTAATCATGCATAACAATGTGCGGAGAGTCGTAGATACCAGAGAAGTTTGTTTTTTCCTCAGCTTCTGATTTGAATTTATTGTGATTTATTTAACTACAACTTTCTGCTCTCACTTTCGAGTACCCGTTGTCTTTCCTTTATGATTACACATAAAAATTTTACATTTTAGATTCATTTTACCCCGCATACCTTTTGATGAATCATCAAATATCTGTTCATCGGAAAAATTAAATAACCGAACAATCTGTTAAAAGCATTAACAGACCTGTAGTTCATCTTTAGATCGTCTTCCGATGGTAATATGCCATACTTGGATCATCATGAGGCTCAATTTTATTGTTTTTTTCTAACGCTATGTTTGTTTGGGTTGTCTCCTTTTTCCTTTTTTTTTTCTTTTTCCGTGTTTTTCAAATTCTTTTATGTAATGATAGAATCTATCTCAGTGCAATAATTTTATTTTTTCAAATCCGCTTGCACTTTACCTCCACAGAGGGGATTTGCTGCCTTCACGCCTAAGGGCTTTTGCTTTTTTTCTTTTCAATTAGGAACCTGACATTTTTGCTGTTTGGTTTGTATGTGGCCTTGTTGCAGTTCTTAGGAGGCATGTTATTGTTTCAATATCTTGTGAATGTTCTTGAAGGGGACTTCAAACCTCGTAACAGTGTGTATGCAGGTAAACTAATTTCTTCTTCTTTTTTTTTTGTCTTTTTTTCTATTTTTCCTTGGATCCTAAATTTTTTGAGGAACTAACTGGCTTGTTCTTATTTTGCAGAAACTGGGGACTGGCAACTCGTAAGGAAGTCCGAGCTGAACACATTTCTGGTACAGGCTCTCCTTTTTCTGAGTTTTGTTGGTATTTTGTATTAAAATCTCATTGGGTCAGTACTATGTCGTGTCATAAATCTTTTATTGTTCTTTCGTGTATCTTTGAAGTTATCTTCTATGATGTGGGAGATTTAAGGTTGTTTGCTAGATATTTTGCAGGCTTCAAGAAGAATAAATTACAAAAGTCTAATGAAGGACTGCCTGTCCATAATGTGTGGACTGTATCAAGTCTATGTTTCAACCCCATATGGAAATGATCATATTGCTATGGACATTGGTTTACTTGAGGCACAGAGAAATACTTGTTTGGCCATGCAGAGGTTGCTTGTGGTGGTAAGTTTGTCGTCGATCTTGCTATTGGAGTTACACTTTGAATGATTTTCTTTGATTTGTACATTTAGATCATGGAGCTTGATGTATCAAAGAAGAAAGCTGACTCAGAAGGTTATACTACTAGAGCTGATGGTATGAGGTAGTTGGTTGTCTTCCTTGCATGATGAACTTTGCATATATATTCTTTTTGCTTGTATTTTAGTGTTTTGATTATTTAAGTGAATGAACCATTGTTATTTGGTCTCCAGAACTCCACTTTTGGAGATAATCTTGGATGAGTTAACTTACAATAGACATATGATTTCACCATTTTTTCAGGTAATTTCTGAATTCTTGTCTCCCCTCCTCTCTGTTTCTGGCTTCTTGGCATAGTTCTTTGTCTTTCCTCATTGCATAACTTTATATCTCCTTGTAGTTTTCACAAAAATGGTTCATTAGCATCACCACTAAGCATTGAATATTAAATTTTATGTACATTGCTGGTACAGTCCTGATGATCAGTCAAAAAATTTTGATAAGGTTTTCCAGCATAAGAAGAAGAACAACTAAGGAAGCTAAGTGCCCAATGTTATGTCTAGGAAACAATTATGTAGTTTTCCAGCATAGGAAGAAGAACAACTAGGGAAGCTAAGTGCCTAGTGTAATGTATAGAAAATAATTATGTAATTGCATTAAGTTTGATGTCTTTTTATTCTAGTTCCCTGTCACATGTCAGTCATGGCAGTTTATTGTGTTTGACTTTATCTATAGTTCCTAGTTCCTTAGCTTGGAAGTTCCTGGTCTTAGAATGGCAGTTATTCTTCAGATTTTCTTTTAAGCATAGGAGTTGTCTGCAAGGAATCAAAGATTATCAGAAAGACAAATTTCAGAGAAGTTTCTGAGTGCTATTTAGTCTTTGGAGAGTGTTTGGCTTGTTTATTAGAAATAGGAAATAAAAAAAGAAGATATAGGAAATATTCTTTTTTTCTGGTTTCTGATATAGGAGGGAGTGAAACTGACCAGAACAGCGCAAAAAGCAAAGCAAAACATGGTGCGAAAAACAGAGCAATTGCAGCTAGAGCAAAGCAAGCAGGAAAAGGGTGTTTTCTAGTGCAGAGTGGTGGTTTTCTGGCTGTGAAGGCCGGCATGTGCTAATGGAGGCCAGCTATGAAGGCCGGCATGTGCTAATGGAGGCCAGCTATGAAGGCCGGATATGGGTCTAGGGTTTTTTTTTTTATCTTTCGGTAATAAAGGTCAGTTTAGAAAAAGTTAGGATATGTTTTTATAGTTCTCATACCATGTGAAAGATTAAAATATCATATATTTTATTGAGTATTAGGACCCTATATATATAAGTTAATAGTAGCCATACAAGGAAATACGATTAATTACAAAAATTACATAGAAGGGATATATTAATAATATATCGTTTACCCGACTTAATCCATACTCTAACTAATACACAACACTTCTTAACAAAGTTCTCTAATTTGGAGTTGGGAATCTATTTCAACTGGAAGAAAAAAGTAGAAAACAATTAAGATGACAAAAATATTCCAAGTTGTTGTATTTAGAAAAAGAGAAAAAAAGAAAACTTATTTTCAATAAGATAAGAGTATATAATGTCACTTAATCATGTTTCCTTTGTAAAAACTATTTTCCTCAGTTTTTTGGAAAATTTTCTTGTGTTTTGTTTCTGAGTGCATCATTTTATTTTCTGCTTCCTGAAGAACCAAGCCAGTATATCCATTAGAAACCTAGTGATATTCAAACTTTGTACCAATCCAAGTTTCATATCTTTGCTTAAGAGATCATGATGCTGCAGTGTCATTGTAGTCAAAATTTTCTTTGGTACTTACGAGAATGGTTTGGCAGGTTTTTACTGATTCTAAATGGAAGCTGGGGATCATTTTGCAATATTTTTCAAAGTACATTGCTAAGGTAAGACACCTATTATGTCATCATAAAACTTGTTGCAACTTTAGCATACCGCAGAATATGAACTTTTCATCTATGTTGTCCTAGTCTATTAGGAATTATCATGCGAATATCTTCAATTAAAATGATGTTTGCTACTGCAGCCAGTTGTATGCACCAGGAGGTCTGGTAATGTCACTTTAGCTGAAGACTTAAAGTTTAGTGGTTTCTTGAAGTGCTTTTCGAATGGCACAAGCACAAGAAACATTTCCAAAAAAATCGGCGCAGATGTGGTTCAGTTACTTATAGCACATGCTTTTCTGGTAATTCTTCTCATTTTCCATATCTGCTGTGATAAAAGTTCTTTTAGTACTTACACCATTTGTTCTTAATTGCATAGATTATACTCTATTCAAGTAATCAAGATGAGTACATAAGATATTTTTGGTAATACAGATACTTTCTTAATAGAAAATTCACCTTCTGTAATCTTACTTTTGCTTTGAATATTAACATGTGAAGGAGACCGGAATGCTTATCTTGTTGTACTATATTCTCATTTTTGCATTCGTTTATTCAATCAACAACGAACCCCTGGAATTAAGATCCGGGATATTGAAGTCTAGTACTGCAAAGAATGTGTTCCTATAGTTTTTATAGCATGCCTTGCCAAACACTCATGGTTTATTTGCTGGAGTCAAATTTGACCAAAGAATATATCCACAATGATTGTCGTAGATGAGATAGAGGTCTGCTTTCATGGTCCAATTTTGAAAACAAAATGTGGCTGGGAATTTAGGAGTTTGAAAATTTGGTTTGTAACATACAAGAACTAAAATTCATGTGTTAGAACAGAGAGGAAGTGAAACATCACCCCTGCCATTTATTATTATGCTTTTCTTGGATTTATAATTTTCTTTCAGGCCCACTTGGGATTATCATCTCAGCAAAATGTCGAAGGTACCTCTCATCCTCAAGAAGATGGCAGTTCTCTTATGGAAACATGTGATCACGTAATTGCCGCTCTGGATAATCTGAGGAGAACAAATAGGTAAGGCTTCCTTATATCTTAATGTAATTAGAGTTGTAACCAAGGTCAATAACCCACTCAAAGATGAACAAAGAACTGATACAGAACATTTTGGCCTGCCACTCAAGTCAAACTGAAAGCATTCTCTGGTTCCCAATGTAGGAATTTCTTCTAGTCATCTTAGATGCATCTTAAATTCCATTTCCATACGCTGCATCATTTATAAGAAGCTGAGTCGTATGCTGCTTTGATGTTAGTACTCCTTGAAATTGTATCTAGATTTATACGAGAAAGAAAACTATTTTGTCTCAAGAAGTTCTATGCAGGAACATGGAAATTTCTCCACTGGGAAAGGAAGCAGTATTTACTGCAGCAACTATCCGGTCAATAATTTCAGAAAAGCCCAGAAAAAAATTGCATCAGAGTTAATCTATTTCAGGGTTGCATTACAGGTAAATAGAAGCATTCATATGGATACTTTTTCACTGCTTTAGTTGTTCAGGACAGAAATTTGGCAGACTTTGCACAAGCATCCAACTGTAATCCAACCTGTATAGACCTTTTTTCTCAATGAAACTTTCATCATTGGATGATTTTAACTAGGGCTACTATATGGATATTACATACGAATCTTTTATCAACTGGACACAGTGGTCGGATGTAATCTTGTGATCATGTTCCTAGACCTTAATATTGATATTGCTAATTGGGGAGACATATAGCTGCCTGCCGATGCTTATTCGACTTCTTCTAAGTTTTGGTCGTAGAATAGTTGCTCAATTGGAGTATAGAGCTTCGTGGGGATTCATTCAATCCACTAATGAATTACGTGCCTCCAGCCATACCCAGAAAATTTATTTTTTCTTTCTTTTTTTTGGTCAGTAAAGGGGTATATCCTCTGTAACTAGTGCAGCTCTTTTTCCATATTTCGTTCAAGGAAGTTTAATGTGCTATATTTTTGTATTTCAACTTTCAATTAATGACGACCGCTGTTGAAAATTTAGTTCCAACTGTTGAAATAATGTAGTTAATCTGCAGTCATCTGGCATGCTTCTCATTTTACTACTGACAAAATGTGATTTTGCCAATATTGGTCTGGTAAGGATGCAAATGATAGTTGGCAGCACCCAATTACAATCTAGCAGCAGCTTCAGTGTCCGATCCAACTTTTCCTTTTGGAATGCGTTTGCAGAAGATGAGGTTATGATACTAGGAGAAATGAGAAGTGCAGTCAAACTTGATTTGTGATTCGTTAATAGACATAAATGTAGAACTAATAGGATTATTATTTTTAAGTTTACGTCACAAATGACACTGGTCAATTATTGATGGTGGTTGTTGAAGTGCTGCATAGTTCTTGTAAAGCATGACTGTCTCCTTAAATTCATTAGGTTCCATCTTTCCACTTTTCCTAGTCGTCTGTCAATTCATTCCTTGATAGTTCTGTGGATATGATATACAATATTCGTCCAATATGCTTATCTTACTGAATGAGTCAATGGAAAAACATGGGCTAAAATGAAGGGTATAGCATCTAATATTTCTTTCAATATGTTTATCTTTATAAAAGAAAGAAGCTCAATGAAAGGGGAGCTTTCATTAAAATTTATTTATTTTTGACATATCAGAAAATTGTACAGATGGACAATGGGTGACAACAGATGGCAAACCCAAGAACCCATACAGCAGAAATTTAATCTTAAGATAACAAGGAACTTGCAATTACTATGCTAACACTTGATATTGTAGAACAAAGAGCACACACTAATCACTCAATGGCGTATGGGGTTTGCAATTGTTAGTGGTTACAAACATCAATTACTTCAAATTTACAAATTCACAATTACTTCAGACTCGCTATTCAAGTCACTAAATAAATCCACTAACTCTAGGCAAATATTATAATGGAGCTATAAAAAACTAATAGATATCAACACCTTATAAATTTTAAAACATGGAAATAAATATTCTTTACACTATGAATATATTAGTTTGTCCTACTCTCTCATATACTATAATACTGATTGAACTTAGAAGTAGCCCTTTTGAAACCCGAAATTACTTGTTCATCTTAATAGGTATCTCTTCTCAAGAAAGCTCTATCAACCTGATCATCTATCAATTTCTTTGTTCATCAATTAGATCATTAACGACATCATCCATAACTAGCCAACTTCTCTAACTAAAACTATCATCTTACGTCACTGATCAATGCATGTCTAATAAGTTATCGCTAATTTCATTTATTACATTCAGCTCATTTATTACATTCAGCTTTTCGGTCTATCTATCAAGTCATGAGCTATGTCATTTGCTACTGGTCAACTCCAATTTCAAGATATGACTCAATTAGTATTGCTTATTGGAAACGCAAAAACATATATGATGACAAAGAGAAGTCCACACTCTGTACACTAATCAAGGAGAATACTTGCAAAATAATAAAACAAGAAGTTCAGAAAACCCAAAAGATAATTAACCAAGTTCTAGGGTAAGGAACCAATCTTATTGTCAAATAGTATCTCAATAAGAGTATAATAATCTTGTTGAAGTTGAGGAAAAAAAAAAAACAATCAATCACTTTTGCTTAAGCGTCATCTAACAAATTTGAGAGGGCTTGATCAATTCTAATCAAGGAATGCTAAACGAACTTAAGAGGAAAGAATGAGCAACCTCCCTATACGAGACAAAGAGCACACCGAGAAGGGCAAATAGCAAGTGAAAGTTCATCCTCTAGTATATCTAGGAAGAGGAGCAACGTGCGGCAACAATTTGGAAGCACCAAAAAGGATATAGGACAAGAGGTTCAGAGTGGAAAGGGTAAGGACAAAAACCTCTTTAATTCTATCTCGAATGATTAGAGTACTGCGCCTCAAATCTCAATCGGTCTCATCTCTTGTTGCACAGCAAGAAGCTTCTAGAAATGCTGTCTTAGGCGAAAGGAAGATCAAAGTTTGGGGGAAAAAATTAAAGTTTGACGAAGCAAATAAGGAGACTTTCTCAGGAGATGAGAAGCCCAACGGCAGTAAAGGAGAAAAAGGATTGGATGGTTAAGGTAGGTCTTGCATGAAAGGAAGGGGGTAAGACGTGTTGGTTTATTAGGATTAGGGCTTTTCATGTTTCAAATTTATGGAATAATTAAAGAATATCATTATTAAAAAGTTAAAAAAATAAAATGATCTTAATACCATAATATCACATGAATTTCCACATGTATAAAAATTTTCATGTGACTTGCCACGCCAATGTCTGCACAAGCTAACGAAAGTTAGTAATGAATAAGGCTATCCACTCTTTCATCAACAAAAGGCTGATTTCAGATCCAATTGAACACAGAATTGTCTATGGGCCAATTCGACCAACTTTAAAAAATACAAGGGCAGGTTTAGTATTTCAAACCAAAAAAGACACCTCTACCTTAGCTCTGTCGAGTAATTTAAGTGAATACTTCTCTTAATAGGTTTACTTAACTACCTGTTTTTTTCATTGGCAATAATCACTTATATCCAAACACAATCCCCAAGTTTCTCAATTTGAGGTCGTGTCTACATTAAGCCAAACAGCCTGCAAGTCACCATAAAATAACCCATCAACATGTCATTCTTCTATTGTTTTAGGAATGTAAAACTGATCTAGTATTCAAGATGGTTGATAAGCTCATTCAGCCCAGCAAAGCTTACTTTAGTTTGATGTTTGGGATGAGTCAAGCTGCATTGTGACTGGCCCATCGTTAACCAGATTGACCTTCATACCATTTGAAACATACAAGTTATTGACAAAAAAATACCAGAATGAAAAAGCTGAGATGGCACCTGGGTGAGGTATTTGTACCTTCATCATTGCTCCAAATACACCATCTGTAAAGAGAATAAAACATATAAGTAGCACATAATCAGAAATAAGAGCACAGACAGAAGATTTTACCAATCCATTTGTCCACATCTTATCACGTAATATTTTATAGAATTCTTTCCATCCATTTTGCTCAAGTTTCATTCAATATTTAGCTTATTCCTTCACATAATGACATAACTAATTTGAATCTTCCACCCTTTAAAAAAATTCATTTCCAATCTCTATAAAACTGCAAAATTACAATATTATATAACAAGTTTAATGTTGAATCCACCTTCACTCCCATCTCAAATATCTGGAGGTGCATTTTCAATTCAAACTTACGGAATGTTTGGAACAAACAAATTATTTTTGCATATTTCACTTGAAAACCTTAATTTTACAGTCTTTATAAATACACACTTAATTCGATGGAAGAATATGTAAACAGAATTCCTTCACATGAAAAACATATTTCAAAATCCACCACATTTGGTAAAATTTAGAATGGTGCTCGTTTGATATTGTGGTTTCAAAGATCTAGTCAGTCACATCATGCAGGGATCTGGAAGAACATTTGCATGGGCAGTTTTGAAGTTGCGTCAGATGTAAAGCAGTCAAAGGGTGAGTTTCTGGCTGAAAGAAAGGAATGAAGGCGGGACACTCGAGCAACAGTTTCCTACAATATATTCTGTTCCCCGTAATAAAGAATCTACTGTGGCAGAGTCTTTTTTGGGATCCCTTAATAATGGTGACTGAGTAGCTGATCTAATGAGGAACATCAACAACTGGGAGGTCAATGATTATATTAAATTATTTTACCTTCTTTCACATTGTGAAAAATATAATAAGGCTTTGGATGAACCATTCTGGAAGCCAAAGCCCAAAGGGGTTTCTCTGTAAAATCCCATTACCTACACTTTGGATAAAAATGAGAGAGCTAGCAAGAAGTTGTGTCAAAGCAGAGTTAGAAGATCAATGCCTCACCCAGGGTGCCTTTTTTGCATAAGAAGTGGTAAAGGAATGCATTTTAACAATAGAGACCTGATCCAAAGGCGAAAAATTCAGGAAAATGGGTGCTATTCTTCTTTAGTGTCTTTTCTGTTATCAACTTTGGTCTATGGCTTATAGTCTACTGGGGCTCATTTGGATGGTGGCCAGATTAGTTAAAGAGGAGCTCTCGGCATGGAGAGGCATCCCAAGAGATAAAATGTTTCAGTGAAAGCTTAGGTCTACCCTCTTGGCTACCTTTTGGGTCATTGAAAGCAAAGAAACAAAACATTTAAGGCTTAAAGAACATAGAGTCTACTTTTGACAAATTTAAAATTTATAGTTCCAAATCCTAGGCTTTCTTATCAAGAGTCATCCTCATTATACTTGCGAGGATTTTGGGACTTATTGATATTTGGATAGGCATGTACTTATTTTGTATCAGGCTTGCACTTCTTTGGTATCTATTAATAATATTTAACTTTTACTTCTCATGAAAAAAAATCAGGTCATGGACTTGTTTGGATTGACTGAAAATTAGTCCAAGTTCGCGAACATGGTAGCATTCAAATTCTCTATCTTTGAAAGGACAGAAAATGGAGGACTAAGGAGCTCAAGAGATTGGAATATTTGGTTAATTATGATTCACGAAGAAGAACTTCCAATGAGGTGATGCCGCGTTTCCTTCAATACTTCTGATGACTAACATTATTATATCTTACAATGTGACTACGGTTAATAATTCAGGTAAGGCAACAGTTACCAAAGTGTCCCTCAAAAAATCAGAAGGTGATGTCAGTTGTCTCCAGAGACAAAAGTTGAGTTCATGCATAACAATATGATTGCCAGTTTATGGGAAAAGCTAACTAGAGTGGTAGGACCTTCCAGCAATGCGAGTGGCTAGTTATTATATTCTTGTTATCCGGGAAAATCAACCTCTGAAACTGTTTAATTGTTTAAGAGAGACTGTTTCTATCTTTTGCAACTTTAGGGTCCATGGCAAGGAGGAAGGTAGTAGGGCATTACTGATCTGCAAGGATCTTAAAAGGAGGTAGTGTAGTGAGGATCAGTGGATCATTGGAGATGTGATCATCTCTGCCTACTTTTAAACCTGTAAATAATTCCAACTCCCTCGCTCTCAATAACAGCATACTTAACACTTCCATCAACGACTCCGAAGAGTGAAGACAATAACCGATCACCCTATCTACCTCTAGAAGACTTAAAAAAAAGTGATGGACCCCCATTCACTATAACTGCAAAAGGAGTTGTAGTACCATAGGAATTAATTCACTTTCTCCACTAATCCCGGATACCCATCCTCAACACGTAATCCACAAAACCCCAACTAACATGATCATGTCTTCTCCATGTCTACCTTGTACAAGACTCCCTCCCTCTTTCAATATAATAGATCATCCACCACCTCATTATAGAAAAACAAAACATAAATGAACTGAAAAGCATAAAAACAATCATTACAAACAACTAGCATGATCAACCAAAAGATGCAAAATCTACCTCAACAGCCATTTTCCCTCCAAGAATCATTCTAGTTTTCACTGTATCATGCAAAACACTTCAACCTGGTCTGCTCCTATCTACTAGACATTGACACTGTAATATTAGCCAAACAACAACAGAGAATAGAAATACCTTTCACAGCTTCTGAGCTGTACGATCTCTGGAACTTTTCAACTAAAGAGGCGTAAAATGTCTTTGCCTTCTGGGGCGCCATCGCCACATGAAAATCAGGCTTGTTACCCTTCAAGAATCCATACAATGTAAACTGACTCACTGTCATTCACATACAGCATTAGAACATATTTTCTTCTCATTCCAACATTTTCGATAAATTAAAGAGCTCTCCATAAAAGCAAAATTTAGCTTGATAGCAATCAACACTACCAGAGAGAGAAACTCCGAAGCACATCCACCAATTTATGAAATGAAACCCAAATTTAATTGCATTCCCTCTTAAAAAGAACACTGAAATGCTCAGGCAACGATAAAACTTCAACAGAAATTATTGATTAGCTAAAACCAAAATGTTAAGCTATACCTAGTAGAACTCCATAATTTCTCTGCACAACCTGCGAAACAAATAAAATCTCACTTAATTCTAATTAAACCCCAACAATGTCTAAAATAATTAAATCGAAATAAAAAAGAAAAAGATAACCAAAAGGAAAAGGAAAACCTAGAGAGAGAGAGAGAGAGAGAGAGAAGTAAATTACGTTCTGGTCCCATCCTTTACCCGTCCTTTCATTGGGGAATAACCTCATGTTAAGAACCTTACGACATCTGCTGACAATTTCATTTCTATCACTTCATCTTTTGCAACAAATAATCAATTATAGAAAAGTTAATAGAAGAGAATTTTCATGTTTTGCCGCAAATGATCAATTACAGAAAAGTTAAAAAATAAGAGAATTTTTCTTCAATATAGCAGGGATTATTTGCGACAAAAAGAAGATTACATGTAATCGGCATCGGAGTCGGTATCGGACTCATGGAGGCCGACGAGGACGAGAAGGCCCGGTCCGATCTCCGATACAATACGGCCGTCCACCTGCAAGGTTTCGCCAAACGGTGCGTACAATAAGAAAAGGCAAGAAACACAAGATGCAGTGTTATATGCGTATATGCATACGGACCTCGACGCTGGCAGAGGAAACTCTTTGAACTACGGCTCTCATGGCTTTGACTTGCAGGTGCTGGTGGTGAGCTGCTCTTCTCCCAGTGCGCGTTGTGGTGGCAAAGGAGGGTGTAGTAAACCGGAGGGAATACATGGGGGGTTTTTTTTTTTTTTCTTTTTCATACCAATCAATAGAGATGGATAAATAGAATTTAAAATATTATAAAATTCAAACATATATTTTTCATATAAAAAAATAGTAATAATTGATTAAATGTTTTTTATATCGGTTTAAATATTTGACTAATCAATTCCATTTATTACTACTTGGAATACTATTAAAGCTTTGCATAAAGTAAGTTTATGCATGATTTAATTTTTTAACTTAATAAGTTTATACACAAAGAATCGTGTTAAAAAATAAACAATTGATTTATTTATTATTTAATAGCAATAATTAATTGAAGCTGCTGTGAAAATATTGCAATTAGAAAATATAAAGGAAAAAAAATAAAGGATACAGATTTTTTTAAAAGATATATATTTAGGGAAGAATAAAATAACTAAATATTTATAAACCTTACAACTTAATTTG